CTCAGGCAAGAAAGGGTGGTAGGTCCTGACTTTGTAGCAGGCAGCCAAAGGAACTACAGCACAGCATGTAGAGATGACACCAGCAGGGCTAAATGCAGAGTGTGTGTTTGTGTAGTGGATGTAGTGTTTGTATAATGAATACAGCGTGTGTATGTGTGGATGTAGTGTGTGTATAGTGAATGCATAGTGTACTTTTGTGCAGTGGATGTAGTGTGTGTATAGTGACTGCAGAGTGTGGCTTTGTGTAAGGATGTAGTGTGTTTAAAGTGACTGCAGAGTGTGTCTTTGTGTAAGGATGTAGTGTGTGTATAGTGACTGCAGAGTGTGTCTTTGTGTATGGATGTAGTGTGTATAGAGACTTCAGAGTGTCTTTGTGTAAGGGTGTAGTGTGTGTAGTTGCTGAAGAGTGTTTGTGTGAGGTTGTAGTGTTAGTAGTGACTGCAGAGTGTGTGTTTGTGTAAGGATGTAGTAACTGCAGAGTTTGTGTTTGTGTAATGATATAGTGTGTGTAAATGTTGTAGCATAGTGTATAGTGTGTGTAAGTGTGTGGGGCTGCATACTGTGGGGAAAAGAGCCTACAGTATTTTTTTCATTTAAGGATGTAGTGTGTGTAGTGAATGGAGAATGTAGTGTGTGTAGTGGCTGCAGAGTGTGTGCTTGTGTAAGGATGTAGTAACTGCAGAGTTTGTGTTTGTGTAATGATATAGTGTGTGTAAATGTTGTAGCATAGTGTATAGTGTGTGTAAATGTGTGGGGCTGCATACTGTGGGGAAAAGAGCCTACAGTATTTTTTTCATTTATTGTAATAAATTGTATTTCACTCCCCCTCCCTGTTTCTTACCTGTGGACAGGGAGGGGGGAGATCACATTCCCTGGTTGTCCGGTGGCATGTTGTGGGCGACCGGCTACCTGTATACTGCAGGGGGGCACACTCAAAGCTCAATTCCCAGCTATTCTTCTATGTCTGCAAGACTTAGAGAGAGAAGAGCAGTTGGGAGGTGAGCATTAAATGTGCTGGCCCCCCTGCAGTGTACAGTAGTCGGGGGCCCAAAGATGCACATATATGTAGTGGTAATTGCTATATTTATGTGCAGTGGCATACATACCAGGGTCGCAGGGGTCGCGCCCCTGCAACCCGGTATGTACACACAGGGCCAGCCTCTTCCCCTGGGGGGCCCAGGAGCCGCAGGCGCGCGCGCGAGGGAGCACTCAGTGCTTCCTCTTCAGCTCCCTCGCGCACCGCACTGATGCCGGAGCCGGAAGATGACGTCATCTTCCGGCGCCGGCATCCCTACCCGGCGCGCGAGGGAGCTGAAGAGGAAGCACTGAGTGCTCCCTCGCGCGCCCGCCTGCCCGACCTGCCAGCCCGCCCACAGTGACCTGCCGCCCAGGGAATCCCCCCAGCACTCCAAAAGGTAAGGAGGCTGGGGGGATTAAATTTTAAACAAAAAACTAGTGTTAGTGTTTGAGTGTGTGTGAGTGTTAGAGTGAGTGTTAGAGTGAGTGTTAGTGTTAGTGTGAGTGTTAGTGTGAGTGTTAGAGTGAGTGTTAGAGTGAGTGTTAGTGTAAGTGTGTGTGTCTGCTAGTGAGTGTTAGTGTGTGTCTGCTAGTGAGTGTTAGTGTGTGTGAGTGTGAGTGTGTGTGTCTGCTAGTGAGTGTCAGTGAATGTGTTACTGTGTGTGTCTTACGGAGTGTGTGTGTTAGTGAGTCTGTTTGATGTCTGTTAGTGAGTGTGTGTTTGTCAATGAGAGTGTATGTTTTGTAAGTGAGTGTGTATGTATGTCTGTCGCTGACTGTGTCTCTGTCAGTAAATGTGTGTGTCTGTTAGCTAGTGTGTATGCGTCTGTAAGTGTGTGTGTCTTCAGCACTTACCTTTCTCCAGCGCCGGACTCCCTTGGCGCTGGGGATCCCTCAACCTCTCAGCTCCGAATGCGACCGCGCACGCATTCAAACCGCCCATAGGAAAGCATTACTCAATGCTTTCCTATGGACGTTCAGTGTGCTCCTCTAGCGGCTGTCAGTGAGACAGCCACTAGAGGCTGGATTAACCCTCAGTGAAACATAGCAGTTTCTCTGAAACTGCTATGTTTTCAGCTGCAGAGGTTAAAACTAGAGGGACCTGACACCCAGACAACTTCATTGAGCTGATGTGATCTGGGTGTCTGTAGTGGTCCTTTAAAGGACCACTATAGTGCCAGGAAAACATACTCGTTTTCCTGGCACTATAGTGCCCTGAGGGTGCCCCCACCCTCAGGGCCCCTCCCACCCAGCTCTGGAAAGGGAAAAGGGGTAAAACTTACCTTTTTCCAGCTGGAGAGAGCTCTCCTCCTCGATCCTCCTCTTCTCCTCCCGTGGCTGTATGCTGCGTGCTGCAAGAGCAGCCAGCATTCAGCCCGGTCACATAGGAAAGCATTCATAATGCTTTCCCTATGGACAGCTGGCGTCTCTCACTGTGAAAATCACAGTAAGAAACGCATAGCGCCTCTAGCGGCTGTCAATGAGACAGCCGCTAGAGGAAATAGGGGAAGGCTTAACCATTCATAAACATAGCAGTTTCTCTGAAACTGCTATGTTTATAAAAGAATGGGTTAAGCCTAGCTGGACCTGGCACCCAGACCACTTCATTAAGCTGAAGTGGTCTGGGTGCCTAGAGTGGTCCTTTAAGTGTGTGTGCATCTGCATGCACTGGCGTACATACCGCGGTCGCAGGGGTCGCAGCCCTGTGACCAGGTGCCCACCGCCATGTGTTGCGGCCCGGCCCGCGCAGGGGGGGTGGGAGGGCCCACGGATCA